CCCCTGGTGGTCAGTGCGCATCATAGCTACTGGTTGAACGGTCTAACGGTTGCTTAGGCTTTTATATATATAGATAATGTGCAAACAAAAAAGTGCACACTTTTAGATGCAGTCTTTTTTAAAAAAATACATTTTTATTGATTTCAGAGAGGAAGGGAAAAGGAAAAAGAGAAACATCAATGATGAGAGTCATTGATCAGCTGCCTCCTGCACGCCCCCTACTAGGAGTCGAGCCCACAACCCGGGCATGTGCCCTTGATTGGAATTGAACCCGGGACGCCTCAGTCTGCAGGCCAACGCTCTATCCACTGAGCCAAACCGGCCAGGGCTTAGATGCACAGCCTTGATGAATTTTCATAAAGTGAACAAGCACATGTCCCTGGTTCCCAAGTTAGGGAGCACGGCCTTGCCAGCACCCCTCCCTCCAACCACTGCCTCCCTGTGAAGGGTCCTCCTCCCACCCCCCGCCCCCTGCTGGCCCCAGAGGTCAGGGTCGCCTGTTTCGGAGTCCATGGAAGTAGAGTCGTGTCCTGTGTCGGTTTTGCCGTCTGGCTAGCATCCCACTGTATGGATGTACCAGCGTCTGTTTATCCCTCGGCCTCTGCAGGGCACCCCTGGCGTTTCCTGTCGGGAGCTCCGTGCCCACACGCAGAGGCCCGGACTCTGTCTGCGTTCACGGGGCGTTTACCTCCGAGTAAAGAGCCGGAGTGTCGTTATGTGTGCGCTCAGCTCCGGGAGACACCAGGAGGACACGCGGCTTGCTTCCTCGGTCTTTGGGTTTCACATGACCCTGCTGTAAACGTGGGCACGCGGGTGTCTGCGGGAACACGTGTTTCCATTCCTCCCGGGTCAGTCCTAGGGGCGCAGATGCTGGGTCAGATGGTCGGTGTCTAACTGACAAGAAAGGCGTGAATGTCACCTTTGGTCTCTTCCTTCCAGAGTGTGTGCCGCGCAGCGGCTGGTCCAGGCGGCTGGAAGGGGCCCACAGTGGGGTGTGTGGAGGACTGAGAGACGCGTGGGGCGTGCATTCAGACTCGGGGGGCTGGGAGGGGGGTGGCCCCTGCTGCTCTTTCAGGATCACGAACAGAACTGATGTCCCTGGACACAGGGTGTGGCGCCCACACCAGGGACTGGCCCTTTCAGTGCTGGCTGGGCAGGGAACGGAGCAGGCCCTGCGCCCACAGGCACGGACTGGGCCGCCGCAGAGGGGCTTCCGGGCGCTGAGACCGGTGTGCAAGGCCTGTGGCGGCTCCCTTTCATCAGCGTCTCTTTCCCCTCTAGTGCGGCATCGTCCTGGGGGCCCTGCTCCTGGCGTTCTGCGCCTGGATGACGCACCAGTCCTGCATGTTCCTGGTGAAAGCCGCCAGCCTGAGCAAGCGGAGGACCTACGCGGGCCTGGGTGAGGTGCAGCACTGGGGATCGAGCCCACAACCCGGGCA